GTTTCAAAAAATTAATGTTATTTTTCTCTGTGTCACCCGGTGTCACGCTACGCCACCCTTTGTCATCCTATCTCACATCGGGGCATTCTATGTCATCCCACGTCACACCCAGTCACCCTGTGTCCCCCATCTCACCTTGTCACCCTGTGTCACTCGGTATTATCCCATGTCATCCTATGTCACTCTGTCACCCTGTGTCACCCGATCTCACCTTGTGTTACTATGTGACATCCTGTGTCACCTGTGTCACTTTGTGTCATCCCGTGTCACCCTACATCACTATATCTCCCTACGTCATCCCACGTCACACCAAGTCACCATGTGTCCCCATCTCATCTTGTGTTATCATAGGTCACCCTGTGTCACTCAGTATTATCCCATGTCATCCTATGTCACCCTACGTCACTCTGTCACCCTGTGTCACCCGATCCCACCTTGTGTTATCCTATGACATCCTAGGTCACCTATATCACCCTACGTCACTCCGTCACCCTGTATCACCCGATCTCACCTTGTGTTACCCTATGACATCCCAGGTCACTTATATCACCCTACGTCACCCTGTGTCACCCTACGTCACTCTGTGTCGTTCTATCTCACGTTGTGTTATCCTATGGTCATCCTGCTCCATTCTATATCACTCAGTATTATCCTATGTCACCCTGTGACACTGTGTCTTTTCCTATTTCACTCTACGTCACATTATGTCACCCACTGTTATCCTATCATATCTCACATCGGGTCATCCACGTCATCCCACGTCACTATGCCACCCTACGTCATCCCACGTCACCCTGTGTCCCCATCTCACGTTGTGTTATCCCATGTCATCCTACGTCACCCTGTGCCACACGATCTCACCTTATGACATCCTGAGTCAACTATGTCACTTTGTGTCATTCTATGTCACCCTACGTCATCCCACGTCAGTATGTCACCCTGTGTCGTCCTATCTCACCTTGTGTTATCCCAGGTCACCCTGTGTCACTTTGTGTCATCCTAGGTCCCCCTATGTCACTCAGTTTTATCAAATGTCCTGTCCTGGAACGCATTATATTCTTAGTGCGTACGAATTCTAAATTGACGTCGTTCCCCACAATCTATCATTTCGGTAAATATATATTGTTAGAGACGAAATACTGTAAAAAACTTTATTTTAGCTGGAATTAATTTTCGCTGAAAATACTTTTTGGGTGTGTTGTATGGAATTTATTTTCACTGATTTTTGACGAGTTGAATGTAAAATATAGAAAAACGGGTATATTTGCTGGATTTTATTTTCACAGAATCATTCCTTCAGCGAAAATGAACTCCAAGCGAAAATAAAGTATTCTACAATAGTACAGTTTGTGCATGTAGCAGTATATCCTTATAACATCCCAGCCCGCACACTCGTATAACCAACTCGCAAATAGGGGATTTTCCGTACAATTGCGAGATCTCGCGAAGATGTATGAAAAACGCGCGTCGAACGTCTGCCGCAAAAAATCGAACGATTTGATTTTGAACTAGAATTTCTTTATTTCGTAACTCACATCGACCGGCCGATCTTCGACAGAGGAATGTTGCTTCCGAATACCCTTACTTAATCAAAATTGCCTATCATCAAATGTGGACAGCACATTATTAAGCATGGAAATGTCCCCCAAAATACTTCGCGTTTGTCGAATCCCACGCGATTATTGACGCCACTACGACGCTATGACCTTTGTTTGTCCTGTTTTTACGTTCGATTTCACGCATAACGCGTGATTCTCGCAGTGAACGGAAAATGGTCTATTGCCTAGCATCTAGAAAACCCAAAACTTACACATTTGGGTGTTTGGATATTTGGATGTTTACCTGCGAGTG